TTTTAACACTAAAAAAATCAAGGACTGAACTTTCTTTTATAGCTCTAAACAGATGATTTTTGCATAACTGAAAGTTAAGCTTCAAAAATATTTTCAAAATCTGTTCCAGTTATAAGTAAAGATTTAAGAAAATATATAATACAACCTCAGGTTTCATTCCTGAAATCAAGTTTACCAAAAGCTTTTCGAGCTGGATATTGTAATGTTTATTGTATAATTGATTGTTTAGAAATAGAGAAACCAACAGATGCAGTGAAACAATCTTTACACATGGTCATGTGTAATTTAAACATGGTCAAAATATAAAAAATGTAATACTCTTAAATATTTAATATGTTGCACTTCTGATGGTATTATTAATTATTGTCATTGTAGAACATAGTGGTTTTTTTAAATATTTTACCTCCAAATGTTGCTGTTATGGCAGATAGGGGATTTAAAAATATTGATTATTTACTTAGGTCCAAAGGTTGTGTCCTAATTAGGCCACCGAGTATCTCTGTAGGTACAAAACCTAGTAAAGATGAGGTACTTGAGACCAAACGAATAGCTAGCTTGAGAATTCATGTGGAAAGAGTTATTCATAGATTGAGAAAATTTTCATTTTAAGCACCACATGCATGTATTGATAATAAATTGTTGTGTTATTCAGATAATATTATCAAAATACTGTTCGGATTAATCAACTTGCAATCAGGAATAATTTCAGGGCGGTAACTTTTTGTAGGTTTTACTTTTATATTTTATAGGTAGTTATTTAGTTTTAAAATTTTAGTTTAAGAAAATGGTTGGTAAAAACCATATTCCAAATTATGTTGAATAAAATATATGCAGGTAAACATTTATTTTGTTTTATTTCAAAATTAAACCAGATTCTCAAAGGCATCTATCTAGGGATTGGTCAAGGTCAAACACAGTAAAAGTAATCTAATAAAAACAAATTAAACTAATATTGTAGTGCAAGTGGTTTTATTAATCATAAATTAATTATATGTACATACCTACAATATACTTTATATATTTATATATCATATATATATATATATATATATATAATTAATATAGTTATATATGTATATATATATATATATTATATAATATATATATATATATTATATATATATATATATATCATCATCATCATGTGCAGCTTTATCGACCGTTTCCAATTACGGTGCAGCCTCCCTTATTCCAATGTTATTCTATGTTCTTATTAGTATTCGACGATGTCTTAGTTATTCGTTTGTTCTTGTAATTTGCGCAAATTACAAGCGCAAATATATATATATATATATATATATATATATATATATATATTATATTCACTTTGTAGTTGAAATTTGGATGGGCACTGTTTGTTTTATGTTCGGTTTTTCCATATTTTCTGAATTTTATTTTGGTGCTGTGTATGCATTTTACTTGGTGAGATGTTACGAAAGTAAAATTTGGAAAAACTGAATGTCAACATTAGTTCACATCCAAATCTTAAATACAAAGTAAAACTTGTCGTGCTGTATATAAATATATTATCATTTTTTGAATGAGTTACATAAATGTGTAAATATATTATATTGCCAGAAGTCTTCAGCAGCATCCATTAACATCTTTATGTATTCTTAATCATATTGTACCCTTATCAAAAAATTTTAAATTTTCCTCAACATTAGGATCTGCAATAAAAAATAATGCTTTTTGTTTCTTATATAGCTGTAGCTGCACTTGAGCTTTGTTGCTGTAATTTCCATATATATTTTTTAAATAGTTACGAATAGAAATACAAAGAAAATAATTTATGCATATCTTTAAATTTTGTTTACTACAGGTAACCCAGGATAATGGACTTTCATTTCTTCGAAATATCTTTTATAGTTTATTAGTTGAATTATTTGAATTATTATATTTTGTACTTTTAAATATATTAAAAGCAAACCAATATTATTTTCGATTTCACAATGTTTAAAAAAGAGCAAAGTAACAAAGAGCAACTTTTTCACGTTTCTCTTCAAACTACCAAACATCACTTTTCACCGAATTAAAGCTAGACAAGCCCGAAACCAACTAGTCGATACCGTGTGAAACCACTATTCTTACAATGTTATAGCTTTTGTGGTCTGGGTGAAGCCTAAACTCATTATAGCGACTGGAAATAATTGTTATTACATTGAGTTCGGTTTTTTCACCTTAGTTAAAATAGACGTACGGAAATTCCTTCTGGTTAGTTTAAATATTATCTGACGTCGTAATTAATTAATACAAACCTGTTTACGGTAAATAGTTTTCAAAGCTATTTTATAAATTACACATAAGCCTATTAAAAGTTTGTAGAAGCGAAACTATGCGGTAAATCCTTTTTAATTTAAGAGAATTTCTCAGATAAAAACGGAAATAGAATATTAATGTTAAATACTGTTTCATATAAGATAACATTTGTGTAATAACTAGTGGGTTATTTTTAAATATTCTGTGATATACTTTTCTCTTTTATTTCTGCTTTTGTTTGCTTCACTATGTATTCAAGATATGACAATTTTATATCCTTTAGGTAGGTTTATTTTGAATTAAATTTATTGACATGTGAAAATCTCTTTATACATATTTATGAAGATGTTATGATTTTAGGTTTTGACATTTGTTATTTTTGTAGATATCATGGTTTGAGGACCTATTACTGAAATACGGAATTTCTTGTGAAATTCCGTATTGAATTTTACTGTAGTAGGTAGTCCCTTGTCAATAAAGTTCTTTTTTAAAGATATTGTTCTTGGACTTAGAAACATCACTGGTGTAGTGCGTAGGATTTTTCGAAAATTACGTCGCTAAACGTTACAAAAATCTAACGATTTCGCGTAGTTTTTTGTTATAACGATTAACCGAAAAACCGAGCAGTGGTTTCAACGAGACCTGGGAGAACAAAATTGTTGAATCCTGTAGGCAGAAATATTGAAAGTCTACATTTTAATGTTCACATCTGGACAACAAACGTCGACGCAAAACGAGACACATCCAAATTCCATAACTTAAACGACAATCCCGGACTTTAACCCTTCATATCGGCACAGCCCGAATTCAGGCAGATGTTTGAACTTTTATATATATATATATGAGATTACAAATCTTACTACAAATTTAATAACTCAAATACAAAATCAATATGATTCCATGTTATCCTTTCAAATACTTTGCAAATTCTAAGCTTTAATAAAGAATTTCAAGGCTACTATCATTTAATCCAAATATTGAAAAAAAACAAATTTATCTTGAGTTTAAAACAATTAAATCCCTTTTGGAATACCAGATCTAAAAGATATCTATTTAATGGTGTAGGTTCCGCAATCAAATTTATAACCGGAAACCTAGACCAAAATGATGCAAAACGTTACGACGACGCTAGATCAACTCTAACAAATAATCAAAATAATATTAAAACTATTCGCTTCGTGCGTGACTTACGCGACACCTACCGCCTTCAACTGACAATTTTGGAATCCCAATTTTCAGGTTAAATATATGACATTATGTTTGACATTGTTAAATACATGCGACATTGACAATTATTAATAAATTAGTTTTTAACTATATTTTTTCAGTTTATGTACAAAATAAATGTAATATTAAAAACTGGGATTCTCAAAATTCATCATAATATATCTTTTCAACTCCAAACGGAAAAGAAAGAGAAAAATCTAGTACTGGCAAATCAAGTTTTTTACGTAAAAGAGCATATAATTAAAAACAGTAATAGGAAAAGTTATGATCTAAAAGCTAAAGTATCTGCAATTAGCTTGAAGCCACTATGAATATCATTCAAGGTAAATTATTTAAATTTTTTCTATTTCAATTGCATAAAAATGAAATTATGTCATTTTCATATTAATAGCACGAATTCATCTTTTTCTTTTCTCTAATTTATATGTAATCTTTGGGAACCTATAAAAACTACATTCACTGTTTTTGCTATTATTAGCACAATTAAATACGCAACATGTATTTCTACACATTTTTGATAAAATTTATGCGTAAAATATTTTTTGTCCAATATTCCAATTTTGTCATATTTCGCCGCTATGCACGCTGGCATCGTTTCAATGTACCCCTACCACGGTCAAGCACGGAGCGAATAGTTAAAAGTCAAATCATTTTATTAAGATCTTCAATTAATAATTTCGAAAATAATACAAAATCTTAGCCCATAACCAGTTAATTTTTAGTTCACGAATAACAGAAGTTCAAAACTAAATTAAAGATATGAAGATAGAAAAAGTTGAGACATTTCATTATTTTGCACCAGAAAGAATTGTATCGCAATTTTACACTAGCTTCCAAAGTGACCTACTGGAAAAAATCGAAGTTGCTATCAGCTTCATTCATAATTCAATAGCCGACACAAAAATGAACTATTTCTTGAAATTTTAAACGTCAGTAAATTTTTTTAAAAATAAACATATTTCTTTTGAATTAAATTTGCAAAATATTTGTTATTCGAAAAAATAATAAGGGATTAAAAAAATTATAGTTAAGCAAATAAATAATTTTTGTACTAAAATTACTATTATTGAGCTCAAGACTAAGATTATTATCATCTTTATTCCTTTCCGACTAGATACCAAACTCACTTTAGAACAATTATTCCAAAATCCAAGTTCCTACTTTCCAATCGATACCAGTAGGTATGCACTTGCCAACGTTCAATATCAAAAATTGGTAGAAGAAGAATATTTATGCCACGATGTCCAGTCAATTAAAGTAACACCAACAGCCCCTTGCCAAATTCAACTCATACATTACTCAAAATTTGTAAATCAATGTCAATCAGTGCCAACAGAAATTAATAATATAAAAATTCAAAAACAAACAAATGCTAAACAAAGTGATTAGTATTCCAAAATGCGATATAAACGGTTATTAATTTACTTATTCGAACTCAATAGTTGCGTGTGCGAAATATATATAGACATTACGTTTTAAAAGCATTCGAAATAAAAACTCCAAATTTTGTTGAAATGGAACTGCCAAATTTAGAAATTTTACTAAAAACGCCGGTCAGTACTCTAAACTTTAAACCAATAAAAATAGACTCGACAAAATTATATAGATTAAATAATGTGCAAAGTGCTTTAGGAGATCAAGAAAACAAAATAGACAATCTAGACACAGTTCCTGTTCATTTTCAAACATGTCAGTTTTTAGACCATAATTTTATGTCTAAGCAATCATTTTCCTTGTCTACACATTTGGCAAATACACAGAATAAAAAGACAAATCAAGAAGAAGTAAAAGAATCCACAGAACGAGAAAATAAAAGTACCCGATAATTTTCCATTTCTTCGAACTAAGCCACCCCACAGTTCTCATCCAGCGGCGGAGGAGTTAAGAAAACAAAACTGCTAATTCACCTATAAAGGTGGGTACACATATGCTCCGAATGCCGTTTCGAAACCCCGTCGCGTTCTTAAGTGTGGACGGAGTCATTCAACCGCGTACCGTACCTCGACGCGGTCAACAACGTACATCGAAGCGATCCATCGGTTGTCGGTAAAATACCTACGCATCAAAAGAAATTTGAGCGCAGCAATATACACCGCGAATTCATGTTTGGACTAGCTTGCGAATCTTTTATCGAATCTCCAGTCATTCAAAATAGTCAGTCTGTTATTTTGAAGGTTGACGGTTGTTTTTAAAGTTGAGTGCATCAAAATGGAATGGACCATCTCCTTTCACGAATATTTTTTCGTTTTATTAACTGAATTAATGCATAAGAATGTATGCTGCTGCAGCAACATCCATCTTGCACATGCGAATTCAATCAATTACTGTTGGAACGCTAAAATGTTTAATTAAAAATCCTTTGTAAAAGGTATATTTTAGGTCTATTTAGGTATTTAAAGTATACCTGTTTACAAAGGATTTTTAATTAAATTTTTAATACATGGTATACAGCCAAACTACAGGAACGTAGATTCCTTGTGGAAGCTAAAATGTTTGGTACAAAGTACGGAGCGGGTGTTCGGTTCGTTACTTATTTCAATGCCCCCTGTAACAACGTCGCGAACTTTTGTTGATCGCGTCGCTGTACGCGACGGGGTTCGAGACGGTATTCGGAGCATATGTGTACCCACCTTAATAAAAGCATAGCGTCAGCATGCCACATCTTGGCGTCATTGATCTTATAAATTTACTTTTGTATTTTATAGCGCCACTTTTATTTTACATTTTACTGTAGAAAGTAGTCCCTTGTCAATAAAGTTCTTTTTTAAAAATATCGTTATTGGACGTAGAAACTTACATATATTATATTATATATATATATATATTATATATATATATATATATATATATATATATATATATATATATATAACACTGTTTTTGATGGGTTGGAGTCAATAAAAGGGGCTATTTGTTGACTATTTTTTACTCGAGCTTTCAATTGTGATTACAATTTTTATCAAGAGCTTCTAAAAATACAAAATATCTTACAAAGTTGAACTAGAAATAAATAATGTTGTTGTTAACTCACCAAATAAAATTAGTTATTTATATAAAACTGCTGCTAACATTAATTACAAAAAATATTATTAAAAAAATGTTCTATTCTAATAAATGTTTCTCTGACAAATTTAGATAAAGTTTCTTAACAAAAAACAATTGGATTTATAAACAAAAATTGAATAGCTACAATTCAGCCTAAATGACGTAAATAACAACTTAAAAATTTTTATTTTTGACATATTGTCAAAAATAAAATTTTTGTTTAAAAAATTCTTCTTTGTTTAGTAACAAAAAAGAAGAAGATTTATTCATCATTGATAGATGCCCGAAAAAAATGTAACAAATACATGGAAAATTCAAAATGTGATATTTTACTGACTGCATAAATTAAATAGAAATTATATAATTATAAATTTTGCTTAAATTTTGAATTTCTGACCTTTTGTTTAAATTATTATCACTTTTGCTAATACAAACCATTTCCAAAAAAGTTCTTTTAAATTTATTACTTTCATTACATAAAATTTTAATATTATCAAAATCCATAATATGGTCTTTGTCTATTACATGCTCTGCCAAAGCACAAGATGGTTTCTTAATTCTACAATCACTCTTGTGAGAAATAATGCGATTTGAGAGATTTCTTCCAGTCTCACCAATATACTCAGCTTCACACTGAGTACAAACAATGCTGTATACTACATTTGTTTGATCTAATTTGTCTATAGGATATTTAGTTTTGGAATATAAAGATGAAATAGTTTTGATGTTCTTTGTTGCTATTTTTATATTGTCAATAACCTTTAATGTTTGTATTAATTTAGGAGTTAAAGATGGTATAAAAGGTAGTGAATGATAATATATGTTTTGATTGTTGGATACAGTGTTTTGAGATTTAGCAAAAAATGGTGTTAAGTTATTTATATTTAATAAATTAGAAAAAAGCATCCTATGTAGCATATCAGGAGGATAAGAGTTTTCAATTAAAATATTTTTTAACAAATGAAGATCTTCTTGTAGATAGTCTGGATGAGAAAGTTTTAAAACACGTTCCTTTAATCCTGTTATAAGGTTCATTTTCATTTTATTTGGATGATTAGAGTAATAGCTTATAAATCTATTATTATCTAATCCAAATAAAATGAAAATGAACCTTATAACAGGATTAAAGGAACGTGTTTTAAAACTTTCTCATCCAGACTATCTACAAGAAGATCTTCATTGTTAAAAAATATTTTAATTGAAAACTCTTATCCTCCTGATATGCTACATAGGATGCTTTTTTCTAATTTATTAAATATAAATAACTTAACACCATTTTTTGCTAAATCTCAAAACACTGTATCCAACAATCAAAACATATATTATCATTCACTACCTTTTATACCATCTTTAACTCCTAAATTAATACAAACATTAAAGGTTATTGACAATATAAAAATAACAACAAAGAACATCAAAACTATTTCATCTTTATATTCCAAAACTAAATATCCTATAGACAAATTAGATCAAACAAATGTAGTATACAGCATTGTTTGTACTCAGTGTGAAGCTGAGTATATTGGTGAGACTGGAAGAAATCTCTCAAATCGCATTATTTCTCACAAGAGTGATTGTAGAATTAAGAAACCATCTTGTGCTTTGGCAGAGCATGTAATAGACAAAGACCATATTATGGATTTTGATAATATTAAAATTTTATGTAATGAAAGTAATAAATTTAAAAGAACTTTTTTGGAAATGGTTTGTATTAGCAAAAGTGATAATAATTTAAACAAAAGGTCAGAAATTCAAAATTTAAGCAAAATTTATAATTATATAATTTCTATTTAATTTATGCAGTCAGTAAAATATCACATTTTGAATTTTCCATGTATTTGTTACATTTTTTCGGGCATCTATCAATGATGAATAAATCTTCTTCTTTTTTGTTACTAAACAAAGAAGAATTTTTTAAACAAAAATTTTATTTTTGACAATATGTCAAAAATAAAAATTTTTAAGTTGTTATTTACGTCATTTAGGCTGAATTGTAGCTATTCAATTTTTGTTTATAAATCCAATTGTTTTTTGTTAAGAAACTTTATCTAAATTTGTCAGAGAAACATTTATTAGAATAGAACATTTTTTTAATAATATTTTTTGTAATAATGTTAGCAGCAGTTTTATATAAATAACTAATTTTATTTGGTGAGTTAACAACAACATTATTTATTTCTAGTTCAACTTTGTAAGATATTTTGTATTTTTAGAAGCTCTTGATAAAAATTGTAATCACAATTGAAAGCTCGAGTAAAAAATAGTCAACAAATAGCCCTTTTATTGACTCCAACCCATCAAAAAACAGTGTTATATTTCTTCCAAACGAGTCACAAGTACTTCTTTTTTCTTATATATATATATATATATATATATATATATATATATAATATATATATATATAAATATATATATATATATATATATATATATTATATATATATATATATAAGAAAAAAGAAGTACTTGTGACTCGTTTGGAAAAAATATAACACTGTTTTTTGATGGGTTGGAGTCAATAAAAGGGGCTATTTGTTGACTATTTTTTACTCGAGCTTTCAATTGTGATTACAATTTTTATCAAGAGCTTCTAAAAAATACAAAATGTCTTACAAAGTTGAACTAGAAATAAAAAATTTTTGTTAACTCACCAAATAAAATTAGTTTTTTATATAAAACTACTGCTTACATAATAAATACAAAAAATATTAATAAAAAAATGTCCTATTCTAACAAATGTTTCTCTGAAAAATTTAGATGAAGTTTCTTAAGAAAAAAAAAATTGAAATTATAAACAAATATAGAATAGCTACAACCAGCCTAAAACGTCATAAATACTAACTTAAAAATTTTTATTTTTGACATATTGTCAAAAATAAAATTTTGTTTAAAAAAATTCTTCTTTGTTTAGTAACAAGTAATAGACAAGACCATATTATGGATTTTGATAATATTAAAATTTTATGTAATGAAAGTAATAAATTTAAAAGAACTTTTTTGGAAATGGTTTGTATTAGCAAAAGTGATAATAATTTAAACAAAAGGTCAGAAATTCAAAATTTAAGCAAAATTTATAATTATATAATTTCTATTTAATTTATGCAGTCAGTAAAATATCACATTTTGAATTTTCCATTTATTTGTTACATTTTTTCCGGGCATCTATCAATGGTGAATAAATCTTCTTCTTTTTTGTTACTAAACAAAGAAGAATTTTTTAAACAAAATTTTATTTTTGACAATATGTCAAAAATAAGAATTTTTAAGTTAGTATTTATGACGTTTTAGGCTGGTTGTAGCTATTCTATATTTGTTTATAATTTCAATTTTTTTTTTCTTAAGAAACTTCATCTAAATTTTTCAGAGAAACATTTGTTAGAATAGGACATTTTTTTATTAATATTTTTTGTATTTATTATGTAAGCAGTAGTTTTATATAAAAAACTAATTTTATTTGGTGAGTTAACAAAAAATTTTTTATTTCTAGTTCAACTTTGTAAGACATTTTGTATTTTTTAGAAGCTCTTGATAAAAATTGTAATCACAATTGAAAGCTCGAGTAAAAAATAGTCAACAAATAGCCCCTTTTATTGACTCCAACCCATCAAAAAACAGTGTTATATATATATATATATATATATCTATATATATATATATATATATATATATATATATATATATATATATATATATATATTGTGGGCTTAAAGTGAAAACTGATCAAGTCCAAAATTGACATTTTGTGTTTTTGTGACCAATCAACTTAAAAA